AAAGGCAACAGCAATTAAACAACGAAATTTCATCAATGAGACGTGGCTGTCACTTGTTCGCTCAATGAGCAATTGATGGGAAAGAGTCCCTGAAGCACTTAAAAATTTAAGGATAATAAGTGCAATTAGGCAGCAATTAAAAAATACGTCTTAAAAGGTTTACGATTTTAAATTCACATATGCACATAAATCGTCAATTTGTAAAATGCTCAGCAAAAATGTTGTAAGAGCTTCTATAACATAGATAAAGAAAATAATTATTTTGCAAACAGTATTAGCTATATTTAAAAAATACAACACAAAAATATATGAATTTCTTAAAGCCCAACAACAATGAAATCCATTTTTCATATCATCCAGCTCCACAATATTTATCAGATTTTTTTTAGCTTTTAATTAAAATTCACGCAAGAGTCGTGCAAGAACATTCTGATTAAGTTGGGCACTCAAAGAACAATGCACATGAGAAGCTTTTGTACGCCACAAATGAATCCGTTTTTCATATGTATATTTCGAGTGTAAACAAATTAATTGCCGTGCAGCCTCTTTTTGACCGTTCGTTCGAAATTGAAAGCCAGCACTGCGGCTCGTTAGTAGGACTGCGTTAAGCTCTGCCATTATTGCACTGTCTATCGCCATGGTTATTTAAATACTTCACATTCTTTATTACCAACTCCATAAATATTTTTTATGAAGGCATTCCTCAAGTATTGTCCGTCATTGCGAAAATTGTCGATAAGGAGAGTATATTGTATAATCATATGTGCGCGATATATGAGAATCATGATAAATCAGAATAAAATTCCTCTGTTGTCTCGCCAAACTTAACATTCTGTTAGTTTACTCCAAGTCTTCATTTTATCCTGATTGGCTGCGACTATTGCAGTAGTATTAGTGTGCGCATTCATGGCGCTGTTGTATAATTGTTATCCGAGTGAGTATGCGCAAAGCTACACGAGAGAGAAAGGGACAAAGATATATGTCGCTGAACGTAGTCAAGAATGTTGCTGTGTGCGAGCTAGATAGCAGCATAACGTAAATGCTGGGTAGGCTCGTTTTGATTTGTCAGTGGATCAATAAAACAAGTAGACTCGCTCGATCGCTGATTTTGGCATTCGGCTGAGCGCTTTGTTTTCGTATGACGCTCTTTTAACGAACATTTTGTTGGGAGCGGTACGATTGATAACCTCGGCCTCTTACCTGTAGCTACTATACAAAAACATATAATTAAGACTAACTTGTCTAGAGACAAAAACAAAAATATATATATGCAAGTTTTACAAGCAATTAAAATGTGTCACGTATATAAGTGACAGTTAGTGAAATAAACCACTAAAAGAACCATAAAGTACAAACCAGGAAAGCCAGAAATACAGACAAAGCGAGCGAGAGCGGAAGTCAAAAGAAGAATAATTGACAATTCCGACTAAAATGCAATTTAGGTCGCAATGAGGAAAATTTCGACCTACACGAACACTATAAATGGAATTCGAATGGCATATGAGAAATGTTTTCCCTAGGTGTGCATAGAAAGTGTTTGGCTTTCATTAAAATTGCTCAAAATGCAATTTTTGATGCTGTTTGTGTAATTATACTTATCGTTTATGTAATTTCCCATAGCACAGCTTTCATTATTGTCTGATTTGAAAACTTCATTAAAGTAAATCTGTTTTGTATTACACATTCATTCATGTGTTAATCGAACCTGAAATGCCAGCGAAGCAATGCAAAATAATCAATCGAACATCAATCAGTTGCCAGCTTTTTCCATTTCCATTCGAATAGGTTCCGTTTCTGTTATGTTTTCATTACAGCTGGCAGCGAAAAGGGAAAAGAAAAGGAAAACCTAAAGATGTGCATATTCATTTCTCAAAGGTGCACCAGCATGATGGTTGAATTCCTTCAATAGGTTTCAATTAAAGCGTGGCTCGGCTGATTAAATGGACAATGATTAATTAATTTGACTCGTTGATTCGCCATTCGATTATCCCCTAATTAAACTCAGCTCTTTGTTCTGATTGCCTTGCTCCATTTTTGTAGATTTTCCTTTTCGATTTTGCTTTCGTCGCTATTCACAGAGGATTCAATTAAATACGCTGCTAATCGAGCGTGGATATTCCTTTGCATAGATTGCAGCCTTGAAGTGAACAGAATATTTAAATGAATTTCCCTTTACAGTCCCAACTAGCCCTGCAGCCCCTTGAAATATAAGTCCATGTGCCTTTAAAGTTAAGTCTACAAACTGATGTGCAAAAATAATCTAAAAGACAAATGCCAAGTCTATTCCGCCATGGTAATCGTTCTGCAATTTGCACCGGCAGTTCCCCAACTTCATTTCAAGCATATACGAAAGTTGAACAAAGTTAAGCCCCAAAGCAACTGACGTCATTTCGCTGGCAGCGCAAAGGCTGATTTATGTTAAATGTCTACGTGATGGGAGTAAATTAACGCAATCGTCTCCAAAATGGTTCCAGCTACGGAATAAGAGACGAGCCAACAACTAAGTTTTCGCCAAAATTGAAAAACTAACTAAAAGAAATTTGCGTTTTCCTTTCGACTTTAAAAATGCTATGAGAGAGCAGTATTTTCTCTGCAAGTTTCTTAAAAATTCAACTCCATGAGCTTATAATTATAATAATTTCATAGAGAAGCTTAAAGCATATGAGCGTCGCATACCTTTATATATTTGTCCCCTTGTGATCTGATTGTTTATGCAATGGAATAACTTAAAAACTTAACGGAAAACCTTGCGGACTCGCGCCATTCATTAGCATGCGAGTCTGAATATTTATCAGGTGCTGACTGTACAGGTCCTCTCAGGAGCGCCAGCTGCAAAAGCCACAGCAATCTGCAAGCAACTCGCAGGACAAAGTTTGAAACACGAATTATGCACGGAAAGGAAACAAACTAGTTGAATGGCTCGCTAGTTAAGCTCAGATACGG